AGTTCTTTATCAATAGAAAAATTCACATTATATTTTTTACTTGTAAAAGAAAATGTATTGGTTATATATATATCTCTCTTTTAATTCAACTAGCATATTGAGTTTTGGAATAACTATTATTACCACATAAAATCAACCTGATGGATGGATATATTTATGTCTAAGAAAACTAAAAGGTAATAATAATAATTTAATGGGTTAAAATAACTCTCATTACATTAATAAATGAATATATTTAATATTGTATTTATATAAATCAGTAAATAATTATATTGTTTTTTTATTATATAAGTCAGATACAAAGTACAAGAATATATAACAATAATTCAGCAAACACACATGATCATAAATCAGAGCAGAATGTCATCCTAATAGTGGTATTTTCATTCCAATCAAATTCAGTATTTTTATTAATTAAATCAAAATTTAAAAAAATCAAAAAATTTTAACATGAGCAGTTGATGTTTTAAATTTTTGGCGATCTTTAAAGTCTACATAATAACAATATGTGATTTTTCGGTATGATGGATGATGGAACTTCAGCTTTCTAATGAATATTAACAGCAAATATTAATTTATCAATTATAAGTGTAAATTGATTGATATTTTTTTTAAATTATCAACAAACAACAATATGCAATTTTTTATTCTGTTAAATAGTGAGTCTTTAGCTTCCTAGTGAGTGTAAGATCATTCATTCAATTTGGTCAAGTATTTAGTTACAAAATTTTTAATTTTAATGATTAATGAAAAAAATTTTTTTTTTCATTTATTGTTTAAATTTTTATATATGGAAAAATCATGAGGGCAGAAGTTACAAACTGATATAATTCAATTTAATTTACATTTATTAATAAAAAATTATTATATATAGAAAGATTATCTAAAGATATATTTAAATTACATGATTCATGAACATACAATAAAGTTAGAGATTACTAGTATGATAATATGAAACAAATAAATAAATTATAATGTTAATATAAAGCTCAGTGAGATCACAAACTTTTCTTTAGTGGTACATTGTTTAGCCATACAATCATTTAAAATATTTTTTTTCATATCTATATAGTTAATTTTTAACATGTAACAAATAATCAATTAAATATTCACAAAAAATAAAAATCTAATATTGAATATATTAATTAAATTCATTTAATATAAATTTTTGATACCTAATACAAATATTTAATAGTTTTCCTTTTGTTATCTGTTCATTCAATTTTGAGATTATCTTGATTTTCTTATTTTTGTCATTAATTCATACTATCTTAAAAACTCTCCACAATAAAAATAATAAACAAAAAGTTCTAATTTAAAGATTATTATCATCTATATTAATAATTAATAATTTATTAAGTTGAGAATATTAATCAATATATTAAAATATTTTTTCTTTTATAACCTTTTGAGTAGAAACTCCAATTAAAAGATTGTGCACTCATATATTATCTAAATATGCTGTAACAAAAATTAGAAAACAATAATGCAAAAAAAAAATTGTTGAAAAGTTTTTATAAAACCTTTTTTTACTTTTAATTTCTTCCTTCTCCAATAAACCCATACAAACCATATACTTTCTGAAAGCTCTCAATGTACTCTGTCTTATCATGCTAAAACAATCTCAATAGAGCTGATTTCTGAAAAGAATTAAGCTTCCAAAGTCAAAAACCATAGGTTTCTTTGAGAAGCTGTTACTCCATAACTGGAAGAGCAACAGGCACATAAAGCTCGCGTTTTAAAGGCCAAAGGCAAGTGATTTTTGTTACTTAGAGGCACAAAAATTGTTTAATAATGAGTTTACATTCAATTCATTTGCCAAAGTCCATTCTACAGAAAATGTGCCATGTCGATCATATATTAAAATCAGTCACTGGGTGCCTTCAAAAATTATTATATTGAGATTGAGATTGAATATTTGATTGGATTGAGATTGGATTGAAATTGAAATTTTCAATCCATGATCAAAAATTATTTTATCAAGATGATTGACAATTATTAATTAAAAATGGAATTTTTATGTCTCTTTTCTCTTTTATTAATCATCAAAGAAATGAATTGGACCTTGAACCTACAAATACCAATGCTAATGATTTTAGTATTGATGTCTTTGTTTTTTGGGTACTTCAATATTTTCCATTTTTTTTATTTTTATTTTTATTTTTATTTTTATTTTATTTATTTTGTTCGTTTATTTTTTCAATCTTACTACCTGACCTAGATTGAATCTCAATATGGAACTTTTTGAACGCAGATCAATCTCAATCTCAATCTCAATCTCAATTTCAATCTAATAATTTTTGAAGGCGCCCACTGTGAAATGTCATCTGACTATGGTGCCGATTATCTAAAGACATCACAAAATGTTACCAATCTTTAAATGCTGATACTTCACTAAATATGGGCTATTTTACCAAAAACTCTCTATTTTTGCAATCTCCTGGACATGAAAATTAATGTAATAGAAAGTTTTTTTTGAGTTATTTAGTAAAAAAAAAAAGTTATAATGCTTTAAAGTTATGTAACTTTATTATGTTATTTGAAATTTCGGCAACCATCTAAACCGTGATTTACCGATTATTTTCACGATTTACCGAATATTCACGTGACAAAGCAGCAGATCTTCTACAAATTTGGATTTTTAAATTTCATGTCATAGTTTCCATATCTATTAGTACAGATTCAGGAACTCTCCTATAGTGGCAATCATCTAAAGACATCATCAATGTTGCCAATCTTTAAGTGCTGATGCTTTATTAAATATGGGCTATTTTACCAAAAACTCTCTATTTTTGCAATATTCTAGACATGAAAAATAATGTAATAGA